GGACCTCAAAGGACCCATTTCCTCACACTGTGCCTGGGGAAACTGAGGCAGGACAGGCTGGGCGAGGCACAAGCCCCAGTCTGAGGTTGTTTTGTTGTCCCTTGGGGTTGTCCAGGTCCCCAAAGCTTCCTGTGCACTCCTCATCTGATCCCAAGAAATGTTCCCTGTCCGGCCAATCCCACAGCTCAGGGCTGGCCTAAGGAAAACTTGATTTTTTTTCCACTTTCTTTTATTTATTCTTTTCATCTTTGAGCCTTAAACATTTGGGCTTTGTTTGGGTTTTCGGGGCTGGGCCCTCCCTAGTCCCAGAAAGGGCCCCAAACCAAAGCCAAACAAACCTCAATCCCTGCAGGGGCCATTCCTGAGAAGTTGGGCTGGATGATCCCCGTGGGTCCTTTCCAATCTGGAATATTCCATGGTTCTAACTGGATGGGAACTCAAAAGCTGAATTTTGAGGGAAAAATCTGATTTTTTCAGGCAGTTTTCCTTGTGAAATGGCCCCAAAATCTACAGCCCCTCATGCCTGCTCCTGGTGGGAAGGGGCCGTTGCTCCCTGGGAAGAACATTCCAGAGATTTTATTCCAGGGAACAATCTGCTCCTCCTGCCTGCTTCCCACAGGGATCTTTGGAATGATGGCACAGATCCATGACAAGGCCAGGCTCCATCTCCCTTCAGAATTCCAGATCCCAGAATCCCAGACTGGTTTGGGTGGGAAGGGACCTTAAATTTATCCCTGATGGGAGTTTTTAGGGGTGTGGGGTGAAGGAAGGATTCATCCTTTAGGATGCTGGTGGCTCTGCATGCCAGTGGGTTTATCCCACTGGGATTTATCCCGGAGAAGGGAAAGGAGGGACAGCAAACATTTGGGATGCAGAGGTTGTGCTTTGGCTCCAAAGAGATTCAGCTGGGATCTGGTTTAGGTTACCTGAAGGAACATCTTTCCCTCAGATCCTGCCCAGCTCTCCTGGAGCAGGAGGGGAAAATTCCCAGCCATCCATCACCCGGAATGAAGGAAAACATTTGGGACTGCCAGAGCCTTTGAAGGAAACCACCTGGACATCCCCAAGTCCAGCCTGCTTAAACTCAGCACAAACTGTCAGTGCAGGTTGAACGAGATTTATTTGGCAAATTCTCCGGCACTCACCAGAATCCAACACATCCAACAGCTCCCAAAACTTCCAAGAGACCCAGACACTCCTCTGCCTTCCCCCTCCTGCTCCTCACAGCCCTGGGAAGGAGGCCCAGAGGTCTCTCTGTGGTCAGCAGCTGCTAAACTGAGCCCAAACCCTTGCTTAGTTAAACCCCTCCTAAACAAAGCATCCAGGCTGCAGTTTCTGCACCTGGAATTGAGAAATCCCCCCACTCTCCGGTGGTTTTTCCCTGTGCTGGATGCCCTTGTTGTTAAAGGGAGTTTTTGGGGGTTTGTTTTTAAAATAAATAATATTTTGGTCAGGATAGGGGGAGCTTGGAGCAGCCTGGGATGGTGGAAGTTGGTCCTTTCCAAGGCAAACCATTGCCTGGTTATTTGGAAGAGGAAGAGGTTGGTTCCAACTTCCAGCTGCTCCTCCCCTCTCTGTGCTCCTCCATCACCAAATCCTTTCTATTTCAACATTCCATCAAATCCCTTGGATTTTTGTGGCAGGATGGGATTTCAGGACTGGGACTGGGATTTCTGTGTCCCCCTCTAAGCCCCACAGGAGCCTCCTTGTCCTCTTTCCCACCCCATGGGATTGAGCTGCTCCACGAGGATGGGGGAGCTCAGCTTTGGGACTCCTCTGCCTCCCAAGGGTGCCCCTGGAGAGGGGCTGGAGCCAGGCCGAGCACACAAAGTGTTTCCAGATGTTCTCCAGGAGTGGCAGAAGTGCCTGATGGAGACAGATGGGATTTGGCTTTTCCTTAAGTTCAGTTTTTGTGAAGAGCAACCGGCAATTTGTGGGCAGGTGCCTGCCTGGGAAGGCAGAGCCAGCCCCAGCTCCTGCTCTGCCTCCCTCCCACCAGGGTTTTATTTTGGGATGGAAGATTTTCCAGGAATCTCGAAAGGAGAGGCTGGGTTGTGCTCCCCCTGGGAGGGAAGCACCCTTGGGAAGCCGGGAGCTCTTTAGGGGAGCGTTCCTTCCTCGGTGTGTGCTGAGCTCTGCACTGAGGGACCCACATGGGATCTGCTGCCTGGACACCCCTGGGACCTCACTACCTTAAAACCCATCCCAAACCCATCCCAAACTCATCCCAAACCCATCCCAAACCCATCCCAAACCCCATCCCAAACTCATCCCAAACCCATCCCAAACCCCATCCCAAACCCCATCCCAAACTCATCCCAAACCCATCCCAAACCCCATCCCAAACTCATCCCAAACTCATCCCAAACCCCATCCCAAACCCATCCCAAACCCATCCCAAACCCCATCCCAAACCCATCCCAAACCCATCCCAAACCCCATCCCAAACTCATCCCAAACTCATCCCAAACCCATCCCAGACCCATCCCAAACCCATCCCAAACCCATCCCAAACCCATCCCAAACCCCATCCCACACCCATCCCAAACCCATCCCAAACCCATCCCAAACCCCATCCCAAACCCATTCCAGCCCTCAGCTCTCATTCCCAGCAGGATGAGAAAAGCTGCTGAGTTTTGAAATCCAATAATCCCAGGAATCCCTCCCGGCCCCGGTTTTCCCACCAAGGTGGATAATCCCCCCTGGCACATGCCAGCCATCCCTGCCCCAGGTGTGCTCTGCCCACGTGCCCACCCTCGGGCTGCCAGCATTCCCAGGGATGAGCTGGGGCATCCCAAACCTCTCCCCAGCCCTGGAAATGCAGTGGGTGGGATCTCGGGATGGAGCTCCTGGAAAAGAGCAGGATGCTGCCACGGCACCTCCAGCAGCACCTGGAGCTTGGCTTAACCCAGCTTGCCCTGGCAGAAAGCTGAGGAGCAGCATCCCATCCTCTTGGTGGGGAGGAAGAACCACCTCCAAGTCCAAATCCAGCAGGGAAGGAGCTGGACAAGGCTGGAGTTTCCCTAGGGACAGCCTGGGGGTGGGAGGTGCTGGGGGGAGCACAAGGCCAGAAGCAGTAGAGCAGCTCTGGGTGGTTTGGACAAGCCCAAGGGATGGCCCAGCAGGAGCTCAGGGTCTGGGAATCACAGAAATATGGGAATATTCCCAGGAAACCCAGGCAGCATCAGGGAATTGGTTCTCCACTGTCCCCCTGAGGCCCTGAGAGCTCCCAGCTCACTCCAACCATTCCCTGCCTGGTTCTTCCCAGCTTGCCAGGATAGTTCAGAGGAGGAGACCTCCCTGAGATGCTTTTCCATGCCACCATTTCCCAGCAAATTTGATCTGTTTGATCCAAGATCTTTCCTGGGGATCAAATGAGCCAGGTTCTCCTCCCATGACAAGGACACTTTTCCTATAAATAAATACATGCAAGGAAAAGAAACAACCCCAAAGCGGGTGCATTTTTGTGGAGATGGATCTCAACCAAAGGATTTTTTCATGAAGTCTCAGTTTCCAGGAAAACCATTAGGCTCTGGAAGGATTCAGGAATAACTCCTGCTCGTGTTTCCTGTGGGGGTCAGCCCCGATCCCAGAACCTGCCACATCAAAACCCCCGGAATGGTGACTCTGCCATTCTGGTTTCTCCCTCAGGCAAAAATTTCTCCTCCCAAGAGATCAATTTTTCAGCCCAGTTCCAGTGGGGATAAACATCAAAAGAGCCCCATTTCCCACAAGGCAGCAATTTCTTTTCCCAATCCTACTTAGGAAAACCTTGAGTTCAAAAAGATAAAGCAAATATGGAATGCAGCTCCCCTCCCCCTTTATTGAAAGGTTTTCTTTGTGTGCACACAGAGCTCAAGTTCCTTTTTCTTGTCTTTTTTAAAGCCTGTTGTCATTTCCTCTTCCAGAGGTTGTTGGAATGAGGAACAGGACCATGAAAAATGTCAAAATACCATTTTTTTGCCTTCCCCTCCTTCAGGAGAGAGGGAGAACCTGGTTTGAAACTTCTGCTGGCCCCAGAGCCCTCCCTCCTCTCCAGGAACAAGCTGCAAACCTTCCTCCCACATGAATGCCAAGCAGGAGCAGCCCCTTGGAGGCTGTCCAGCCGGGGAGGAGATCTGCAGTTCCCACTCCAGGAGCTTCACAGGGGCTGGGGTGGGTGGTGGAGGAGCAGGGATGGAGGGTGGGAACAGGAATGGAGGGTGGGAGCAGGGATGGAGGATGGAGGAGCAGGGATGGAGGGTGGAGGAGCAGGGATGGGTGGTGGAGCAGGGATGGGTGGAGGAGGAGCAGGGATGGAGGGTGGGAACAGGGATAGAGGGTGGAAGAGCAGGGATGGGTGGTGGAGGAGCAGAAATTGGTGGTGGGAGCAGGGATGGAGGATGGAGGAGCAGGGATGGAGGAGCAGGGATGGGTGATGGGAGCAGGGATCGGTGGTGGGAGCAGGGATGGAGGAGCAGGGATGGGTGGTGGGAGCAGGGATGGAGGATGGAGGAGCAGGGATGGAGGAGCAGGGATGGGTGATGGGAGCAGGGATGGGTGGTGGGAGCAGGGATGGGTGGAGGAGGAGCAAGGATGGAGGAGCAGGGATGGGTGGTGGGAGCAGGAATGGAGGGTGGAGGAGCAGGGTGGATGGTGGAAGAGCAGGGATGGGTGGAGGAGGAGCAGGGATGGGTGGTAGGTGCCTTAGGTGAATGGTGGATGTCAGGAATGGGTGGCAGAGAACCAGAGGACAGGCACAGGCAGCAGACAGGGACATCAGGGACATCAGGCTCACCTCCCCTGCGGGCTGAGGCCATGTGCCAGAGCTGGGGCTGGGCATCACCCAGCGCTGGGCTTGGGGATGTGCTGCCCTGGGATCCTGCCCAGCAAGGACAGGAGGGGCACAGCAGTTCACAGAGGCTCTGGTAACTTTGTGTTCCTTCCTTCCATCTCCCCTTGGAGCCCCCTCAGCAAACCTCCCCTGTCCTGTGCCAGCTGGACATGTGGACACACGGTCACTCCGGGCTGTCCCTTTATTCCGCATCAGCCAGTGGGGGAGAGCAGCAGCAGCTCCAGCCCCAGGTGGGCCTGGAGGGCTGAGATTGGAGACACCTCATGGGAGATCACCAAAATGGCCAAAATTCCCTTTGCTGGGTGAAGCTGTGGCCTGGACACCACTGGAGCATTCCAACCTCATCCCCGTGATTCCCATTGTCCTCCCCAGAAAAAAATGAAGGGACTTTTTGGCTGATAAGACTCCAAGGAGTTGGAGAGCTGTATAAGCATTTTACACCCCCAAGAACATCAAGCCTTCCCTGCTCCCCCCCACCTCCCTCACAGAACATCTGGCCCTCCCACCCTCCCCAAAATCCCCCCCAAAATCCCGCCCGAAGCATCCCGGAGCCGCGGCCATGTCTCAGCTCAGAGCTGCGAGCACAGGGGGAGCCTCTCCCCTTCCCAAGCGCTGCCAGTCTCCGGCTAAGCTGCTTACAGAGCTCCTGCCAATCCAGCCGTGCTGCCAGGCTGCCACTTCCCAACCCCCACCCCCTCCCCGGCTCTGCTTCCCACCTTTCCCATGTCTTTATCCCAACGATTCCTCTCCGAACCCCCTTGGCAGGTCCCAGTGTGTGCAGCAGGATCCCGTGGAGCTGCACGGGACAGAGAGCCCAGTCCAGTGTCCGAGCCCATCCATGAGCAGGAATTCCAGCCCAGAGCAGTGTCCAGCGTGTCCCACCCCTCCCACCCAACCCACGTCCACAGCAGTGTCCGAGTCCACACATCCAGGGAGGGTTGGGAGCGACTGCAGCAGTCACAGAGAGGGAGGAAGGTCGGTGCTCAGCAGCTGCTACAAGGAAGAGCTGGGCAGGATTCAACTTGGAGCAAGGAGGAGGGAAAAAACCCAAGAACCAACTGAAAAGGAGGCAGAGGGAGGACGCCGGGATTCAGGGACGGATGTCTACCTTCTAGGACACAGCCAGCAAGGGACGGGAAAAGGACGGTCAGCGGTCGGTTGGCGGAGGGTTGGATTTGTGTCACTCACGATAGAAAACATATTCGGTGTAAGAGGTCCAGATCCTGTCGTCCGTCTGCTCGTGGGCGAAGGCACAGGTGCCCGTGGAGTTGCAGGCCACCATGTGGAAGCCGGCATCGGCCAGTTTGTCAAAGGCTTGCTCCAGGAAGGTGAATTTGAGGTAGTACCTGGACGTGTACCTCTCCGGGGGCCTGTCCGGGTCCCTGCTCTCGTTCAAGGTGTCCCCAAAGACCTCCTTGGCCAGCGAGGTCTTGCCGCACACCATGATCCGGGCCACCCTGCGGAACTTGGCGTCCGTCTGGCTGTCCCTGCCCAGCGTGTAGGAGCCGCGGTAGCCGATGGTGATGAAGCCCGCCCTGCGGCCCTCGGTGCCGGCGGCGCCGGGCAGCGCGGCGGCGGCCGGGCTCAGGCCACGCGCGGCGTCCGCGCCGGGGGACGGCTCCTCGGGGTCGCTCTGGCAGGGATCGTCCCCCAGCGAGTTCTGCTGGCTGAGCTTGGGCACCAGCAGCTTCACCAGCTCCGGCAGCATGAAGTACTCGGCCTCGCGCTGCAGCCGGCCGCGCTCCGGGAAGTGCTCGGGCAGCACCAGCTGCTGGTCCCTCATGTAATCCAGGATGTAGCGGAACAGGAACCCGTCCCGGTCCACGAAGAAGCGGCCCTTGCTGTCGCGGGCCAGTGAGCGAGCGTTCTTCTGGGTGAACATCTCCCAGAGCAGCGAGCCGGGCACGCTGACCAGCGTGGGGTGCCGGGTGATGTACACCTGTCCCCCCACATTCAGCTCGATGATGTCAGGGAAGGGGTTGCTGTCCTCGCTGCCTTTGGCACAGCTCGCGGGGTCTGCCAGGGCCATGGTGAGCTCCTGTTGCTCCCACCTGCAGCACAAACGGGTCAGAACCGTGTTAAAGCTGCCGGGAAACACAGCCCACTGCCCTGATCCCAACTGACTGCAGGGCATCCCAAGCCACTGCCCCAGTCCCAGGTGACTGGAAATGATCCCAAGCCAGATCGCACATGGAATCACAGAATTGTTTAGATTGGAAAAGCTCTCTACAATCATGGAGTCCAACCCAGCACTGCCAAGCCACCACTCAATGTCTAGTTTTGTTCAGCAGGCAGGGCAGGAGCAGATCCTGTCTCTCCAGGAGTCTGGAAGTCATCTCTCTTCCCCAATCCCTGACTTTTGGAAGAAGCAGCATTATCCAAAGCCACCTCCCCTGCCGTGGCACACTGCCCGTGGTCTGACCGTGCCACCTCCACCTGAGCTCTCCAGGCAGCACAGGGGCTCGGCCCCTCTGCCCAGGAAGGTGCAGGGACGTGGAGCTGCTGTCAACAACAGGAAAGGCAGGGCTGTCACACCCTGGGGACCCGCCAGCCCGGCATCCTGCGGGCAGGAGCAGCTGCCGAGGGAGGAGTTCCTGGTGCAGGGGCCCTGCAGAGCTGGGGCTGGAGGAGTTGTGGTGCCACACAAGGAGCACTCCGGGGCTGGGGAGAAGCTCCCTGAAGGACAGAGGGAAAGGGGAACAAAGCCTTTTGGCACTCCCGCTCTGTCCTTGCTCCTGGAGAGCGCTCAACACGGACTCGCAGCCAAGCTGGGAGACGGCAGAACCTCTCCAAGGGGCTGGGACCAAGACAAATCCTGGGCTGCTGCTACAGCGATTGTTCCGAGGCAGATGCCACGGAATTATACATTTTCCAAAGGCAAGCCGGTTCTTGGATGTCTCTTGACACTGCAAATCAGCAGCTTACATAAACCTGGCTCAGCAGCCAGAGCCTGGATCCATGCCGTGCTCTGTGCAGGCATTTGGGAGACCATGGAGAGAAGGGGTTCCCTGGGCTGACCTCCAGCTCTGCCCCCTCCCTGGGTGGTCTCAGTGCTGCCCTGGGTCTGCTCGGAGGCTGGGTCCCCCAGGACTGGTCCCACATCCAAGGATTAGCCCAAGGGCTCGCCCCGTCCCCATGTCCTGCCGCAAAAACTGCCAGGAGCTGCTCCAAAGGATCCCAGCACAAATTTCGGAGCAACTAAAGGACAAAGATAGAACTCTGTGGGCACTTTCGGGCACGGGGGCAGAGCTGAGCCAACGTTTCACGGCCACACTCCTCCCGGCTCACAGGGAGAATCGTCGTTGAACAAGGAGTGACTTGGGCAAGGAAGAGCCGGAAGGATGGAAAGAGGATCAGCGCGGTCCCGGCTCCCCGCTCCCCTCCCGCAGTGGCTCTGGGTCCCTTTTCCTGGCGATTCCATGCCCACGGCACAGCCCAGCGGGCAGAAGCCGCCCGTGCCCGGAGCTCGCATCCCTTTATCAGGCTCGGGGGGCTGCCCATGGTGGGCTGGGGGCTCGGGGGGGACGGGCAGAGCGGCGCCGCTGTCCCCTCTGCCCATCCCAGGCGCGGACCCGGCGGGGACAGCGGCGGGGACAGCCCGGCTCAGCCCAGCCCGGCTCAGCCCCGCAGCCGTGCCGGCGCTCTCCGGCCGGGGGACCCCGACCCCTCGGCCCCCGTTACCTGGGCAGGGCGGCCCGGCCGCTCCGCTGCGCTCCCGCCGCGCCGCTCCGGCCGCGCCGCTCCCGCCGCTCCTCTCCGCCCGCCCAGCCCTGGCCCCGCCGTTTTATGGCCGGGAAGGCGGCGAGGGCCGTCCCCTGCTGTCCCCAGGACCGCCTTTCCCCCGCCTCCCTCCGCCTCCAGCCGACCAGCCCCCACCGTCCCCGCATCCCCCGTGCCCGCGTCCCCCATCCCCGCATCCTGCCCGCTCTGAGTACCGGCCGGGACTCACCGGGGAATCCCTTGCCATCGACTGGGGATGCCGCGGGGCTGGTAAAAAAGGAGGGAGAGGGACTTGTAACGCAGCCAGATGGTGCCAGGACAAGGGGAAGAGTTTTAAGCGAAAAGAATGGGGATTTAGGTGGGGTACTGGGAAGAAACTCACCCCTCTGAGGGTGGGCAGGCACAGGGTGCACAGAGAAACTGTGGCTGCCCCTGGATCCCTGGGAATATCCAAGGCCAGGCTGGGGCTTGGAGCATCCTGGGATGGTGAAAGGTCTCCCTGCCCATGGCTGGGGGTCAGATGGCTTTGAGGTTCCTTCCAACCCAAACCATTCAATGGTTCCACAATTCCAAACCCAGCCAAACAGCTGGGTTACAGCAGCCAAACTCTTGCTATTCCTTGGATGATTTTATATTGTTGAGCTGGAGGGACTGGAATGCCCTTTCCCAAGGTAGGAATGACACCAGTGGGATCATAAGGAGCTTAGGCTGCTGTGGCAGCCTGTTTGTCCAGGCTGGAAAAACCAAGCAAGGAAAGAGAATTCAGCTCTTTTTAGTTTACTTGAAAATTCCAGTTCATGTAAACTCAGGAAAGTATGACAACTCCAAACAGCATCCCAATATTTACACGTTTCCTGGAATCCTTTCCATCGGAAGTCCAGTGAAGCTTAAATCCCAACATTCTCTGACAGCAGAGCTGGCCTGAGTTCATCCACGAATTTTTGTCGGTGTTAAATTTTTTACGAGCAGAAGATGCGATTTCTTCTTCTCCTACAAATTAAATCCCTGAGTCTGGGCACCCACGTCCAAGGAATTTTTCTGTTTGGGTTTCTCCATGTTGTTTTCTTGTATCTCAGGGCTGTTCGATTATTTTCCCATAAATTGCAGGAACTGTGCCTGGATATTTTGTGGGATATATTTATAGAGGGAGGAGAGTTATAAATGAGACCAGTTTGTTGGATGGATGGATGGATGGATGGATGGATGGATGGGGGATGGATGGATGGATGGATAGATGATGGATGGATGGATGGATGGATGGATGGATGGATGGATGGATACATGAAGGATGAATGGAGGATGGATGGATGGATGGATGGATAGATGATGGATGGATGGATGGATGGATGGATGGATGGATGGATAGATTACAGAGATTGGCTCAAAAGATACTTGAAGTATCTTTTAAATTGGCCTGGGGGGAAAATTTAGCCACCATGAGCCTGTTTGATTTTTGGGATTGGGATGAAATCCAGTATGGTTTTGACCCACTTTTCTGGAGGTCCGATCCAATGTAGCTGCAAGTTCATCAAAGAATTCCCAGGGAATTTTCAGCTCTGTTGGCTCACAACTCCCTGTCTCGGGGAGACACCGTCACCCAGCCATGATCCAAGTTACTGCTCCAGCCCAGGGCCTCCATCCTGGGCAGCTGTGCCAGGGCTCAGCAATGAAGACATTTTTCCTCAAATCCAATTTAAACTGATTTACTCTGTAGGCGGTGCTGGCAGAGTTGGGATGGGAGCCCAGGACAGGCCCAGTGACAGGAGCAATGATGGCACTTCCCGTTCTTTTTTCCCTTTCCCTTTTCCCAGTTGCCTCTGTGCTTTTTCCTCACATGCCTGAGGCTCAGCCGGGACAAAAATTGCACCCAAATTGGTGCAAATCCTCCCATGAGCTGATGTGGAAATCATGGAAACCACCTGGGCCAATGCTAATGTGTCCAAAGGCAACAGGGAATGGGATCTCCAGGGAAGGGGAAGATGTTTGGCACCATGGAAGCGACCAGGGGGCCTGGAAACTCAAGAGAAGTTGCCAGGAGGTTTTATAAAGCAGCTTTTGCAAGTTCTTCCAAGAAGACTGGAGCAGGAATTTGGGTCCCTCTCTGGCTTTAAAGACTTTATCAACCACAAGAGTGGCAGATGATTCATCCCCATCCCAAGAGAAGGCAGGGAAGGATTTTATGAGAGTTTGTTTGTGTCCACTCTGAGATTCCACAGAGCGATTGTGAGCAAGGCCCTGGAGTCACTTCCTGGCTGCTATTCCCATGTTTTCCAAGCTTGGACACAAATCCCTTCACCCCACAGTGCCTCATCCTCCTCATGCCCCTCCAGAGAGTCCAGCCCGCTCCCCAGCACTGCAAAAACCCACTTGTGCTGCCCCAAAACTCCTTGAAATATCCTTAAATTTGCATTTTTAAGGATCGAGGAGTGTCAGCTGGAAGTGAGATGCAAATGTTTCCATTGCCTGATTTTTCCTCAGCTAAAAAAGTCCAAAATATAATAAATCAACTGTAAGCCATGCTGGGATGAGTATCCTGTGGCACATCACATTGCAGGGATGTTATCCCAGAGCACTGATGCTGCTCCATCCATTCCTTGTCCAGAGATAACCAAGGGAATTGCCTGTGGAGGCAGGAATATTTACCAGAGGGAAAAAACCCTCATTCCTGGATGCCAGAAGGGTCCACACTGAGGTTCAGATTCCTCAGTGCCACGGCCATGATTCACGAGCCAGGACTGGAGGCAGGAATCTTTCATCCTTAAACAAAGTGGAGCTAAAAAGTCCTAAAAAGGCAACAGAATCCCTGAGTGCCAGGCTCCTGTGGGGCACAGAATTATTTTTAGGACATTTGGGGCACTGAATTATTTTTAGGACATTTGGGGCACTGAATTATTTTTAATCCCTTCAGGGTCTTCTGGCTGTATGTCCATCAGTGGGAAAATCCCCCTTTGCAGCATCCATGCTCCTCTTGGTGCTCCCAGCTCTGTCTCCCTCTTCCCCATCCTTCATTCTCCACCCGTGCAGGGTTTTCCTCTCTGGGGTTAATTAAAACCCGACTATGTGCAGGGTTTTCCTCTCTGGGGTTAATTAAAACCCCACTGTGTGCAGGGTTTTCCTCTGTGGGGTTAATAAAACCCCACTGTTGGGTTTGGGGTGAGAAGAGCTCACGCCTGAAGGGGCTCTCAGCCTTGAATGAGCGCCGTGCAGGGTCCCAACTTCCCAAAATTCAGCAGGAAACTCCCCCCAGCATCCCTAAAGCCCATCTTTTTCTCTTTTCCACCCGGAGCTGCCAGGTCTGCCGGCAGCACGGAGCTGTGAGCTCCTGAGGCTGAGGAGAGGCGACAGGAGCGATGTCCCCAGTGTGGCTGTGCCACCCCCGCGCTCTCCCTGCGCCTCCACGAAGCTCCTGCAAGCTCCAGCTGCTGCCAGCTTCTATAAAAGGGGTTAATCTGCTTCTGCCCGGAGCTCGGGTGGCTTTGCAGCCCTGGGGACGCAGTGGCCACACCGGTGTGACCCCAGCAGAGTCGGGACTCCTTCAATAATTCAGCCACACGTCGGGTCTGGGCCGCTTTTAGCAGCGGCCGCCGCCTCGCGCCGCGGTTGTTGCGGCCTTTTGGTGACAGATCGGGTTGGACAAGGCAGGAAAAAGGCTCTGATCAGTGGTGCTCTTTAATTGGCTCCTCATTAGGGGGGCTCAGCCGGCCGAGATGCCCAGGAGAGCACAGGGAGGTGAGGGTATCGCCGGCCAGGGGCTATGTACAAATCACGAACGGGACAGGACTGCTGTGGCATGCAGTCTCATTCCATGGTTATGACAATGGGAAGATGCCAGCAGCTCACATCCAGGCAACAGACCAAGAACTTAATGTTACAACTTACTTTATAAGCTTTTTGACCAGTCACACAAAGCAAAAGCACATTGACAGTAGTTCTATCCAATCACTGTAAGCACACGTACCTTTGGTTAAAACAACGCTGGCTTTTTTTGAATACAATACTTGCTTGTAAGCCTCAAGATACAATGCACAGAGCTCCATTACTAAGCTTAGACCTTCCTAACATCACACCAGATGTACTTTTCTGCAACTTAGGAAGTTATTCTACCCAAGCGTTAATACACAGACCATTGTTCTATTTGTCCTTTCTTTCTACTTCTTGTATAGTTTTTCTACTGACAAATCTCATAGCTACTGCTTAGCTCTAATCACCATCCTGCTGTCTCTGAGGCCTGCCTTTTGCAAGGTGCCCAAACCCCTCTGATTTTAAGGAATCCCACAGAGGTCAGGGCTGGAAACCCCTCCTGAAGGAGCCACAGCTTGAGGGCATCACCACGGGAGGGTTTCCTGGCATGCTCTGATGGGACTGGAACTGTCACCA